TAATTCGAAGATAAAAGAACAAAATCTCATACCAAGTAACATTAGATCAGATTGGAAGGTTTGTACGGTTGGAATTAATTAAACCTAAGTTATTAAATAATTGATTCAGAAATGGAAATTTTTCTAATAGTAGGTTTTAGCTCCTAAACCAACAATAAGAAAGTGACACAAAGAAACGTGATTATTGTTGATCCGTCATAGTCTCTTAAATCCTTACTTATATTTGATTAATTAGCTATTTATATGCTTAAACTACACCAAATTTGAGGTCCGTGACTTTCCCATACTAGGATTTAGCTCCTACACCAACAATAAGAAAATGACATAAAGAAACTAGGTTATTGTTTATCCGTCTCATAGATCCTTTAGTTATACTATTTGATTAATTAAATATTAATATGCTTAAACCCAAACCAAAAATTGAATTGTATTAAGTAAAATTTGATATAAGAAAAAAGAAGAAGAAAAATTAAAATTGTATTCGAATATAAAATCTCATACCAACTAGTAACTAACTTGAAAAATCGGAACTTCAAACTACACCAAATTTGAGGTCTGTGACTATTCTCATACTATGTTTGTATGTTTGCTCCTATATCAACAATTAGAAAATGACACGTCGGTTTTTGGTTGTTACTTTTGTCGACGTGGCAAATGCCATGTTGTAACATGCCGCCAAATCGCCCCACGGTATTTTTTAATGCACAAAAATAAATGAAATAAAACTATAAAACTAATGGGCTGAGCCAGTAAATAACTGAAAAGTTATCTAATATTTGCATCCTTTTTTTTTTTGGTCACATCTAAATTTGCATCCAAATCGTTAAAATATATGATTTTTTCTCCATGCTTTGAAAGTTTTTTTTTTCCCTTTTTGGATAGTAGACTAGAGATAAAAGATAAAGGAAGGAATGTGGTCAATATTAATCTACACAATTAGTAGCAGTAGATTTTGCATTTAAGAAATTTAGATTCACCCAAATTTCTTAGAATATTTGACTGTATTTAAAAGTACATCCAAAACAAGTTTGAAAATGCATTTTAAGCATATTACAAAAAAAAAAGAAGAGATGATGCGTTACAATGTTTGACTTGTGTTTTTTTTTGTTATTGCATTTTTTCCTATCCTCTATATATTAATTGAAAAGATATTAAAATAAAAAATCCTATATATCATTCAATAAAAGTTTTAAGGAGTATGTAATTTAAATTAACTAATAAAAATATTTTAATTAAAACTACATGACATGGTGAAAATCTATACATATATTCTTATTAATTTTATAAAATAAGTCCATTAATACATATTTTAAAAATCTAAGTCCAACTAAATATAATATTTAGAC